TTTAATTCCAAGAGATTTCTAATTTATCAGAAATCATGTTTATTTAGGAAAGGCATCCATCTGTGGAAATCTTGTCCTTGGACTTACTCATCAGTTAAAAGGTGTCCTTATCAAAACATGTAGATATATATATATATGCATTTATGGATTTATGTGTGTATATATATATTTATACCTGTGTGTAGATAGTATGTATACTAATGTTATATTTATAAAAATCCATAAATCTTGACATGAAAAAGTAGAGATAGGGGTGGGGGGAGATAGAATAATTATGAACAGAAGAAGTTCTTCATACTGCATTCGTTCAAAAGTCAACTAGACCAACAAAGGATACTGCACACTTGGCATCCAGGAATTTCAGCTGTGGGAAGGCCAAAAGATGGGGATGAATTAACACTCCAAATTCAGTGACTACGAGGGAGAGGGCATCGCTGGGAAACTTCATGGCCCTTTGGGAAGGCTATTCTCTTTGGTACTAAAGTAGAGAACCATAACCACTCTTCCCATCATTAAGCATCACTAATATTCTGGAGAAAATGAAATACATTTCAGACAAGCACACACTGGATTTTTCCAGAGGAGAAAGTGGTAGGTAGGAGGAAGCTACCCTGATGCTGAAATGGGGCTTTGGAGGTTTGCAAATGGGAGACTTAACCCAGACCGCACACACAGAAGGAAATAAATACAAAAAGACACCATGGGAGGACACTTGGCCACCACGAAGTTAATTCAATATCCTGCTTTTTAGATGCCCCATTAATGACAGCTACCCAATATCTTGGTCTTTCTGACACCAGGTAAGCTACCAGGATACCAAGTCCTAAAGTTCCCTGCTTCATTAGGCCCTTCTGATCATCAACTAGTACAAGCCCCAATCTGCTGGATTAAAGATCCCTCCCACTGCACTTACCCAGACACTGTCATTCCTGCCAAGTCACAGCTCCCTTGCAGCATTCAAAATGAACCTAATTTTTTTGATTTCCATTTGCTGCTGGTGGTCTTCAACATAGGGCATTCCTGCTCCTCGCACCAGAGGTCCCATGTATAGTGTTAGAAAAGTGTTCACCCTCACTGTGCTGCAGCAAAAGGGGCTCATTTGTGGGTTTCAGACTCACTGAAAATGGCATTAGAAGGATGACTAAACATGACATGTCATGACGTGAATCCCTAAATCACCTGAAACACCAACAGATGGGACAGTGGCCAGGAATGCTGTGGCCTCTCAGACTTTACCTGAGTTCATGATTGGGGATCAATATTCATCAAAACCCCATGAACAGCCCATCAGAGAGAATGGGTGTTTCTCTCTGATGAAATATATTCGCCATTTGTGATGTCTTTAGAGAGCTGGATGGAGCCATCACTGCTGGTGCTCAGTGTACACTGGGTGGGAAATGGACCCTGGTGGAGGTGTGGCTGTTGGAACATTGGAGGACTGAAACCCGATCATGAAAGCTTTGTAACTGTGTCTTATGATGATTCAATTCGAAAGAAATTTGTTTTAAAGAACTTTCTCTTGGGCATGCCTTAGAGGATCCTAGGGGTGTCGGGGATGGGACTCTAGTCTGCAGTATGCAAGGCAAGGGCTCTAACCGCTGTGCTCTTTCTCAGCTCCCCCACTCCACCCCCCATTTTTTAAAAGAAACCAGTTAGGATAAAAACAGGATACTCAGAATGCTAGAATAAAAAGTGCAAGTGTTAAAGGCAAACTGAATTAAAAACCAAAACGCTAAATAACCAATTGCTATCACAGCACAGCTTTGGAACTCGCCATGCCTGGGTTTTGTTTGTTGTTTTTTACATGCATATATTGTCACATTTTATGAAAACAGCAAGCTTCTAAGAACTCCTATTTCCCATTTTACAATAAGGAAACAAATTCAAAGAGAATAACTGACTCATCTAGGACAAAGAAACACAGGGGGCAGAACAAGGTTTTGAATCCAGAGTGTGTATAAACTACATCCTAAAGCTCCAAACTCTAGGACCATCGGGTTTCTATGGGTTAGAGAATGAAACGATGCATTCCTTGAGGCAATCATAAGCTCCAATAAAATAAAAGTAGTTTTTTTAAAAAAAAAGTATAGAGCATTAGAATTTCATTTCACCACAAGTTTATTTCTAATATCTCATTTACAGCCAAAGATTAACCAAAAAAAAAACAAACTTAGTTTTTTCACAAACTATTCTCTGTACTAAGGAATATTCACATTTTTAAAAAAGCAGCTAACATAAATTATCTGAATGCCATCCTGGATTTTTAGAAGTTTCTCTTTTCTGAATTAGCTTTTTTGAGAGAAAAAAAAAGAAGTAGTAATACATGTATGGACAATGTATGTGTGAAAAGAATTTCAATAGGAAAGCACAACCCTTCCCTCTAACAAATAAAATTAAAATAAAAGACCTTTAAAAGACACTTTTCACTAAGAGTTCTTTTCTGAATAAAATAAACAAGACCAAAGGGCACCTTGACTACTACTTAGGAATAAAATCAGAACACAGGGAAATCTGTAATTCTAATCACATTTGCACCTTCTCTCCTCTTTTACATTTCTCATCCAAACATCCTTAGGAGCTCAATAGGCTTAAAAGAATTGGAGCAGGGTAGAGAACAAAGGTGAGGGAAATCTAAGAAACAGCTTAAGTGGCTGTTCACACCATTTTAATAATTTCAACTTGGCTGAACAGTTTTCAGAAGATATGCAAGTCACAAATGTAGGAAGAAACTAGTTACTCTCCTTGCTTAAACCATTAAACAGCATTGCAAACAGACCTGTAAGGAATGAAGGAATGTTTGAGAACAAAAAGGTAAAAAAGCATAAAAAACTAAACTTTCAAAAAAATATCAAATTTAAATGTATTTTCTTTAGTCATTGAAGATCTTGTGCCAGGTAAGTAATATGTGTTATAAATATTATTAAAATCTGTGCTCTTGTATGCAAATAACTACTTAACCATCGGCTATGTTCCCTCTGGAGATAATGGTGGCAAATATGATTTCTAGCTATCTATACTCAACCAAAGTAAGCAATAGAGGTCATATACCAAAAAAGAAAAAAATAGGAAAAGCAATTATAAACTGTGTGGTGTTTGTGACTTGTTCAAAGGGGTGGGGGAGTAATTTTTTATGAGAAACAGACAGACATCAACGTGAAAAGCAACAGTTTAATATTTTATTCAATACCCCCAAAATGACCAAATTTTAACAAATAAAAATATAAAAATAATTATTATCAATTCCACAGGATACTGTGCTATCAGAGTATTAATAATACTGTAGTAATTGATTAGCAGTGGCTACAGGAATAATACTGGGACTTCGAGCAGATAGCAAACTTGACCCTCTGCTCTCAGCCCCACCGATGTTCTCCTGGGCTCCGCCTGCACAGCCGAGCCTGGTGAAAGCTGCAGCTGCGAGTCTCCATCATCTTCATAGAAAGATCCCTGGAGAGCTACCTGGAGAGCCCCGCTCAGAATCTTGCAGAATCTTGCGTTCCATCCATCCTGGTGCCGAGGGTCTCACACCCTTAACACGTTCTAAGGAGACAGAAGCTAACGCGGACCAACTACCATTTCCTCCCTGGGAGCGCAGGGCTTCGGTTCCCTGGTAAACGCTATTCAAGGTTGGATGCTGTTCAAAGTTCCTCCACCAAAGAGATAAACACATGGGTCCGGACTTGAAACGCCTTTTATTAAAGGATTGTTTTCACCTGGTCCCCGAGAAGCGGGGAGCGGGGAGGGAAGCAGAGGGGGTGAAACCCACAGAGTGTAGCTTTCATCATGCTCCCCTCACTGTGCCCTCCCCAACGCACAACACCCCCCCTCCAGCCAAGCTGGCTCCTGATAAATGAGGTTTGTTTATAATGCAGAGGGCGTCCCGGCATAGCAGGCGGTAAAGGGGTGCTACTGATTGAGGGCAGAGAGTTCGTTGCCCTAAACTGAGACGAGCGGTTGCACCGCTTCAACCAGTGGAGGAAAAGCACCTAGCGCTCAATGGGTATTCAAATAACGGTTTGTGCATTTGCTTCGGAAGCAGGGCGCGCAAACAAAAATGGATGCAGTGTTCGCAAACGCCCCGATTTTTCCCCAGCGGGACAACGGGACTGAGTTGGTAGCCAATCAAGCCAACTAGCCGCAGCTCCCGGGTTGCCGAGTGCGAGTCGGCCTGGGAACTCGGGCAGCGCGCGCGGGGCCGGGACACCAGCATCCTCCCCAAGCGCTTTGTTCAGGCGGCGATCCCACGGCTCGGCGCTGTGAGGTGGCTTCGCGGCGACGGTGCCGACACCTGCTCTGGTGCCTACTGAGACTCATTCTTTAGAGCGACAGTAAGCTGGACATCCCGCGGGCGATGGGAAACCCTGGATTCGGGGAGCCCCAGCAGGGGTTAAAGGTAATTCCTGCAGGCAGTGCAACACTTGCAGTCCTCGCTCCCCTGGCGTCTCCCCTTGCGTCTCGTCCCTGTTCAGAGTGTGGTTCGTCCCTTCACCGCGGTCACAGCCCGCTGCGTCCCAATCCCGGGTGGTTTCGAGCGACCCTGGGCAGCTGGGGTCGCGGCCCGCCCGGGGCGCGGGACTCCATCACCGCGGGTACCCGCTTCTCCGGCCACTTCTCCGGCCGAGGAAGGATCGGGCAGACTCACCGGGTGAGCGGCAAAGTTGGAGTGGCCACCCCAACTCTGGCCGCAGCAGAGCGAGCACCCACCCCACCCCGGCGGGGGATGGCGGCGGTCTGGGGACCGGCCGGGGCGCCACCGGCGCGCAGCAAACGCCCCGAGTCCGGCTCCACGGCCGGCGACGCAGTCAGGGGCGTCTCCAGAACTGCGGTTCGGATCCAGCTGCCACCCTCCACCCCTAACCCTCAAAGGCGTTCCGGGGTTCACCCGCGCGGCCGGGGGAACCTGCGGAGCATCTTCCCAGCGGGGGTCAACCCCCACCCCCACAAATAAAAAAAAATTAAATTTAAAAAAGTAGGGCCGACCCCCGGGCCGCCCCACGTACCTGCCCGCGGAGAATCCGGCAGCCCCCGGGCAGCTCCCACCAGGCGGCCCTGGAAAAGTTTGCGAACTTCTTCGCAGTTGTGCACGGCCTCGCCGCCGACGGCCGCGACGACGAGCGCCAGCAGGAGACCGCCACAGCCCGCGCGCCGGGTGCGCGGCTCCATCCTCGGGGTGCTGCCGCGGTTCCCCGCGCCGCCGGCCACCCCCACGCGGCCCGCGCGCTGGCGAGCGCTGCCCGAGGCTCGGCGGTGCAGGTGCCCCGGGTGCAAGCGGGCACGGGGACCTCGCGGTTGCTCCGGCTTCACCTGGCGGCACTCAGCGCCCCGAGGCCGAAATGCCCGAGTTCCTGCTGGGACCGGAGACGGCCGGCGGGCGCGACTGGAGCCGCCCGATCCCACGAGCATCCGGCGCTGGCCACCAGCGCCGTCGCTGCGGGCTCCGAGCACCGTCGCCAACCTGAGACGCTGCGGCCGCGGCGCCCCGCCGCCAGGCCCCGCCCCCGCCCCGCCCCGCCCCGCGCAGGCCCCGCCCCGCGCGGCCCCCACTGCGTGCAGACCCCGCCCCTCTCCGCGTAGGCCACGCCTTTCCTATATAAGTCACTCCCCCTCCGGGCGTAGGGCCCGCCCCGCCTCCGCGTGGCCCCGCCCTTCCACGCCGTTCCTCGGGTTCCCCGCCGGAGCGCCGCAGCTGCTGGCAGCGCCCGGCCCACCGCTGCAGAGACCTTGGAGGCGCGCCGTCCGGAGCAAAGCAACAACAACAACAACAAAAAAAAAACCCAGGCCTTGCCCGGCAACGGCGGCCCGCAGATTTACGAGGAGCGGCTGTAGGAAGAGACTCTGGAAAATCCCGGGCGAGAGAAACAGCACTAAGACGAAGATGCGAATGTTTCTGTGTAAATCACGGTCCTCGAGACGGGAGCATTTGGATTTCTACGGCAAGAAGCAGGATCTGGGTGCGAGGCAAAGGCAAAACCCGTTTAGAATTCAAGATCCCAACTGAGAGGCTTGACAGCCCTTAGTTGCTCTTGCAAACCTGGACATGGAAAGTTGCTTTTCTTTTTAATTACTTCTTTGGAACATCTTCCTGTATCCTTAACTACCATTTTTCTGTTCACGAGCTGCATGGTGGAAGCAGGGACTGGTTACCCAGAACACACCCCTCTCAGAGCCAGGAGTGACCCCCTCAAACAAAGATGAATGTATGAGTCAGAATGATTACTTTTGAATCTTACGAAGTTCCTATTCCCACAGGATTCCAGCTAATGCTCTTCCCTCCCTTTACTAACATAATTATAGGGATTTCTGTCCAAATGGCCCATCTGAGTGTTGGCACTTCTAGAATTAATTTATAACATTTCTCGGAGATTTACTAAGAGTGCTCACAAGGAAAATTTGAAAATTGAAGATTTTAAGAATCTTCAAGCCCGTGCATGTTCTGCTGTGAACACATATCTCACTTGTGTGTCTCTTGGTTTGCAAGTTCCTGTTCTGTCTTGAACACATATTCCTTACCTTCCATCCCCTGCCCCACAGTCTTTCCAAGCAAATTTCATTCAGTAATATAAGAAGGAGGAGGCAGAGAAGGGAGAGAAGGAGGAAGAGGTAGAGGAGGAGTTGGGGGAGACAGAGGTGGAGGAGGAGGAAGAAGAAGAGGAGGAAGAAGACTACTTGATTTTGTCAATAAATTTGTCAAATTACAGTTTAGAAAGGGAAACTTAAACCTAAGGGCCGGGTGCATTTCCTAACTGTGACTGACACAAGATTAAGCCTGTGAGTGACAAGTGTCTTCATCTGAAGCCACCTGAACCCAGTACTCCTCCAGCGGAACAAAACTAAAAGCATCAGGCAGGGGCGCTACTAATGCCTTAACCACTTAAAGGGAATTTAATCTCAGATTTGATCCCCTGCCAAGAAATGGAGATGAATAATTTCAATTCTTAGTGAAGTGTCATGGGATTTTCACTGATCATGTGATATGGAAGGCAGCTCTTACAGCAGCAAGATTACTTACTCCACAACCATTTGCATGGCAATGGCTGTGATGCAACTTCAGTATTTTATTTCTTCAGAAAAACAGTGTTCACCCAGCTCTTGACATCAACTCCATGAATACTAGATTGTTTTTAGAAAGCTCTCTTAATAAATAAGAACTGAAAAAAAGTCAGATATAGCTGCTTTTAAATGGGACTTTGGGTAACACTTTAATAGTCTTGCAGGGGGAAGTGGAAAGGAGAGGACAAGGAAGAGGAGGCAAAGAGAGGAGAGAAGAGGCAAGCAGAAAAGAGAGAGGAAGCTGGTTAAACTCCACAAGAAGAAAACATCCAACCCCATCCAAAAATGGGGCAATGAAATGAACAGAAACTTTCTCAAAGAAGAAATCCGAATGGCAAAAAAGCACATGAGAAAATGCTCTACATCATTAATCATCAGGGAGATGCAGATCAAAACCACAATGAGATACCATCTCACACCTCAGAGACTGGCCCACATTCAAAAGAACAAAAGCAACCTATGCTGGCGTGGATGTGGCGAGAAAGGGACACTCCTTCACTGTTGGTGGGAATGTCCACTGGTTCAGCCCTTCTGGAAAACAGTATGGACGATTCTCAAAAAATTAGAAATTGAGCTCCCATTTGACCCAGCAATACCACTCCTGGGAATATATCCCAGAGAGGCAAAAATGTATAGTCGAAGTGACATCTGCACTTGTTTGTTCATTGCAGCACTCTTTACAATAGCCAGAAACTGGAAGAAACCTGAATGCCCAAGAACAGATGACTGGTTAAAGAAACTTTGGTACATCTACACAATGGAGTACTATGTAGCTCTTAGAAAAGATGAAGTCATGAAATTTACATACAAGTGGTACAATATGGAAAGTATCATGCTAAGCGAAATGAGTCAGAAAGAGAGGGATAGACATAGAAAGATTGCATTCATCTGGGGGATATAAAGTAACAAAGTATGAGATTAATACCCAAGAATAGCTGAGATCAGCACCAGGAGGATTACTCCATAACTTAGAGGCCAGCCGGGTATCCTAGAGGAAAGGGCAGTTCAGATAGAGAAGGGAACACCAAATAAAGGATGTTTGGAGGATCCTCCCAGGAGGGGAGATGCATGTCGAAAGTAAACTATGGACTGAACATGTTTGCCACTCAATGCCTCTTTTGCAGACCACAACACCCAAAAGGAGAGAGAGAACACAGGGGATTGCCCTGCCACAGAGACAGGGGGGATGGGGGGATGGGGGTGGGAGGGATATTATCCATGGTGGTGGAAAATGGGCACTGGTGGAGGGATGGGTATCTGATCATTGTATAATTGAAACCAAAGCACAAAAAATTGTAAATATACAACTTTAAAAAATAATAAAATAAAATAAAGGGAAAAAAAAGAAAGAAAAGAGAGAGGAAGCAAGGAAAGGAAGAGAGAGGGGACAAGGAAGAAAGGAGGGGAGAACCAAAGAGAGGAGAGGAACTGAAGAGAAGGGGTGAGGAGAAGAGAGGCAGTGAAGAGAGGTGTGGAAAGGTTGGGTTCCTTTGCCCGTGTATTTCTTCTTCAACCACCAGGCAAGGAAGTCCTAAGACAAGAAAAAATGACTAGTGGAATATGCATCTTGCTTATGTTTCAGACAATGTGGCAAGTACTTTTGATGTTCATTCATTCATTTTATCTTTGTAACAACCATATACAGTGGATGTTATCATTTTGTTTCCACAAAAGCTAATTCTTAAATAAAGAGCAGACAGCAGGCTCCAACCCTGTCCCAGCAGGGGATCCCTATGTTGCAACAGGAGTGGAAGCAGGACTCACCATTGCCTGGGGAACCAGGAACAGTTCACTTTTTGCCATCCAGATTTTTTTGTTTTCCCTGTAGTCTGTGGACCCTTCTCCAATCCCTACACTTTCAGCTCTGTGAATTCCTCTGCTCCTCATTCTGTTTCTCTTCAGCCTGCTTTTAGGCAGTGCTTAAAGGGGATCCAGGTCTTTTATGCCTGGACATGGTGCCTATCACCCCTCCCCAAAGCCTCTTACTACTGTTTCACGGGGTAATTCACAGTCCAAGCATAGATGCCAGGCAGTGGATCTAGTCATCAAGCCCAAATAGAGGGGTGCTCATAACCACACACCCTCACATCAGTCTCTCTATGCTAAAGAACCAGTGTGGATATTCAGTAATTCCAAAGGGGGGCCAGAGGGATAGCACAGGGGTAAGGCCATAGATGCACCACCCAGTCTCCTGAACACCATCAGAAGTGATCCCTGAGCATAGCTGGGCATGGTTCCCAAGCCAAAACAAACAAAACATCAATCCCAAACGTGGTTTATTCATCAGATTTTCTATGAGTAAATACATAAAATATGTTATCTATAGGCTTCTAAAATTCCTTCCATATTAACATATGACTTCAGGCCCCCAGATCTTTCTAAAACTTTCTTTTTATTACCAAGATGTCTCCATGATAGATTTGATTATCATAGAGTACTAACATTAAAAAGAATACTCAGAGGTGACCTGGTCTAATGTATTCACTTGGAATCTCTAGAACAATTTTTCTTGCAAGGTTGAAAATCACAAATAGGACTGAAAATTACTGATGGCTAAGTAAAAGCCAATCAACTAACAATTTTTTATTTGGTTGGTTGGTTGGTTTGGAGACAACCTGAAGGGATTAGGGCTATTCTTTTATTTTTTCTTTTTGGGTCACACCCGGCAATGCACAGGGGTTACTCCTGGTTTATGCACTCAGGAAATCACTCCTGGCAGTGCTCAGGGGACCATATGGGATGCTGGGAATCGAACCCGGCTCGGCCGTGTGCAAGGCAAATGCCCTACCCGCCGTGCTATCGCTTCAGCCCCATAGGACTATTCTTAACTCTGTGTTCTGGGTGACCTCTGGCAGTGCTTGGGGAACCATATGTGGTGCCTGGAATTCCAACCAGGATCGCAGACACAGCCGCTACAAGCAAGGCAAGCTTCCTTACCTTCTGTACTAGCCACCTTCAACTACCAACTGAGCATTTCTCCCTCTATATACACACACATAAATATTGTTTTAAGAACACTATTCCAAGAAGAACTGGGACTACAGGAACATGTAAATAAGCTCTCATTGTTTTTGTAATGTATATCAACAGAACACTTAGGTGGAAAGTTATATATAGAAATGCAGTGGTCTAATGAGAAAATAAGTGTACTAGGTTTATATAATCAGCTCCAATTTTTAAAAAATAACAATTTGTTTCTACTTTTCATTTCCTATGGCCACCATGGTGGAAGACTAGGAAGATGGCTTGGAACAGCTACTTCTCCTATCAGTGGCCCAGTGACAACCACTCAAATATGTGTACTCAGAATGTGCTGAAAAAGCCATAAAACTTTAAGATAAGTTCTCTTCTTCCAACCATGATAACAACAAAGCAGCTTTAATACAAAAAATCTAGAACAATCTCTATATACTGTACTATAAATTTTTTGTTAATTTCACCAACAAATATTATAAAAGGTAAAGAGAAATGTCCATAATCAAATACTAACATCTCATTTTTCAAGTTAATCTATTAACACGTATTGAATGTCCTTTATGTAATAGACTCTGTTTTTCATTCACAATATCAATAATTTTAAATAGCAGAATCTTCACATGTCATTTATTTTCTAAATCTAAAGCATCGAGGTGATTGTTTACTGTTTGCCAACTCAGATCTTACAAAGAAAATGAGTGTCCAGTAGGGTTCAGGTGATTGTGACAGCGTCACAGAGCCTACAACCCTAGCTACTGCTTTCAGCAGTCAACAGTGGACACTGGTTAGCTCACCTTCAAAAGCCAATCAGGGATCAATCCCAGGCACCCTATATGGTCTTCTGAGTCCTCCAGGTGTGATCCCTGAGCACAGAGACAGGAGTAAGCCCTCAGCACCATCAG